ATTTCCTACAGGGGGGTGCCGGGGACATGCCTGCACCCCCCATTTCGAATTTCGGGCCCAAACCCAGGGCGATCGTTTGTGCTTCGTTAGTGCACGTTAGTGCTTTTTATCCCGTCGTTAGTGCTTTATCCGTTCCAAAGTTATTCGCATTTCGTACAGGGGGGTGCTGGGGACATGCCTGCACCCCCCATTTCGAATTTCGGGCCCAAACAAATTTCATTCGTTTGTGCTTCGTTAGTGCACGTTAGTGCTTTTCATACCGTCGTTAGTGCTTTATCCGTTCCAAAGTTATTCGCATTTCGTACAGGGGGGTGCTGGGGACATGCCTGCACCCCCCATTTCGAATTTCGGGCCCAAACAAATTTCATTCGTTTGTGCTTCGTTAGTGCACGTTAGTGCTTCTTATCCCGTCGTTAGTGCTCCATCCCTTAAAATTGTATATGAATTTCCTACAGGGGGTTCTAAGGACATGCTAATTTAGATTTCGAATTTTGGGTCCAAAAATCTTTTATTCGTTTATGCTTAGTTAGTGTTTCACTGTATTATTCGTCCGGTCGTTAGTGCTCTACTGTACCTTGATCCTTGGGTGGGTACATTGCAGTTAACTCTCGTAATTTTGGGATTAAATTACTTAAATCTGAGTTTTATATATTACGTAATTATTACGTAAAAAAAAATGTTATTAAAATTTCATATTTGTGCTAATTTCTGCCAAACGCTTTAATAGATATAAGTATATAACTTTGAAAAATATCATAGACAGCTGATCGATAAAACTGAGTATCTAGTTTTAAAAATTCTCAAAAAACTACATAATAACTACATCTATATGTACCTATATACCTATACCCCTTACCAAAACACTACTACACACGAATTTTATAATTCTTTTGTTGCAATTATTTAATAACTATAGTTATAATGTGTATGATGTACCTATGTTTGATAGGTGTTGATGTATGCTTGTTTGAAAAAAAATATGCTTTTAAAATAAAATGGTTCGCGTTATTTGTGAATATTTAAAAGTTATTTGTTAGGTATTTAACCAATAAAGATCTACGATTCTACGACCTAATACTATAAATGTTATTGCGGTACAGAACCAAGATAGGGTTCCATTCTATGCGCTCAAGAACGTCAACCCCTGGATTATTCTACCATTAGGTGAAATAATATTAATAATAGATAATATTAATGATAACATTGAGTATAATATATTTTTGTACAATATAAGTACCTATACTCAATGATGAATGATATAAATATATTTTTTTTAAGTCTGGAAACAAATTTAATATTTTTAACGTACCTAACTATTTGGTGTATAGTATTGTAGTACAAGTTTTAGAAGAAAATATAATTTGGACATTAAAATAAAAATAATAATGAATTACACTGTAGGCACATGGCAGTGAACACATGAACGTCATCTAAACTTTGATTTATAACATTTTGGCAACTATCTACCTACGCATGTAGTAAGAAGTAGGTACCTACCTAGTTATTCACATCGATAAGAATCGAAGTAGAGTTTTAAATATATGAACAATTCATTATATAATTGATACTTGATAGTTGATACAATTTTTATTTCAATCGTCAAACAATATTATATGCATTTAAGCTTTGAAAATGCTAGTATACACATTACAAATACATTTAGGAACCATAATTAAACTATTTTGATAATTGTCAACAAATTTAATATTATTTATGTGAAATATTATACACTCGTACAGTAATACCTAGGTACTCAATGTTTTAAAATTTGCAAGAAAACATTACATGTGCATAAAAATTGGTTATAATTGAGATACATACACACGATGATACTTTTTGGAAATTAATGGATAGGTATTGCATTATGATATTCACTCTATTACGCATCAAAACTTCATATGTCTATTCATAAATGAATACCACAAAAACAAAATATAATAAATAATATGTTACTATTGAATCCAATAACATAGGTAACTGCAATATGTAGGGGGATATTTTTTTCAAGGTGAAGGGAAGGCACAAAAACAATTGAACTATTCAAAATAATGTCATTATTTATTATTAATTATTATAATACATATTAGTTTGCTACAAACATAAAATTAAATTTATAATGGTTATTCAATAAACCGATTTTTATACCAGTTATAATTATAGATTAAGACGTCTGGAGTATGAATCTACTTATCTACTCTCATTAAAAAGAACAATTGAAATATTATACAATAGTAGGTACCTTCCTTAGTTATTTAATAAGGCGAGTGGTGACGGTACCTACCAGTTAAAACAGTTATAGGTTCCTATAAGAAGAAAATATCATGTGGACATTAAAATAAAAATAATAATGTATTCCACTGTATGTATATGACAGTATGTTACATACCTATCTTATCTAAGGTATTTTTACAAGATAAAAGTAATATTATTAAAATATTGTGACCCTCATATGTCAAATGCAAATTTACAATCAGTTACATTACTAGGAATTCACCCAAAAACGGTCATTTTTTAAAGTTTAGGTACATGTTTTAACATGTGGTTATTAAGTTATTTCATTTTTTGCGTACTGCTGTTGGGTTGTTTGTGCGAAACCTCATAAATACTCATTATGTTACTTAAACAACAAAACATTGTTGTTAAATTAAACGGTTAAATTTTTTTAAGTAGGAGATTGGGGATGCAAGTAATATTCTAGCATCGGTGCCTACTTATTATTTATCATTATGTTTTTGAATGCGAATGTATAATGATCTCTGTGGTTCCTGGTTCAAATTGTTTTGCATATTCAAAAGTGATTTGACACTACGACGTACATTCATATTTACGGTATGTATACATATTTTATTAATAATTATTCAGTATAATATTATATAAGAGTATTATTATTATATTATTATGTAGATTGTATATTATGTAGAGTAAACGTTTAAAGGTGACTTACAAAACGAAATATTAATCGATTAATGTATTTTACTAAGGTAATTGCCGCATACTGGTACCTATTAATAAATTCTCCCATTTTTCCCAGTGAAGGAATGTAAAATATTTATAATATTAGACTTAGGTACCTACCTAATGAATATAAGCTGTTTGGTGATCAAAATTCCATCCTTATTTGAATGTTTATTTTTTTAATTAATAATAAACTAATTTTTTTAGAATCTTAACATCCATTTTTCTCTTTAATAGTCCATTTATTAAAAATAGATTTTTAAGAGTATTTCAAATACATAATCCGAATACCTATTTGAAAAAAAGTATTCAGAATTATATGTATTCGAATACTTTATGATATTAATATTCCTAAGTACTTGGAATACTTCACAAAAAGTATTCCAAATATTTTTTTTTAGTAGATTTAGATGTCATTTGCAAGAATATTATTTTTTCAATTTTGTTTTTATAAATGAACATTATTATAATCTCGATAATACACACCTATCTGGCTATCTATAAGTTATAAATTATATTCAAATTAATATAGTTAATAAGTAATAATTAGTAATATATAAGAATATACCTATATAAGAAAAAAAGTATTCCGAATACTGTACTCAGAATACTTGTAAAAAGTATTCAAAATACCATATTGAATACTTTCGAAAAAAAGTATTTAAAAAGTATTCGGATTTCTGAATACTACCCATGTCTGATTTTAAGTATAGGTATCTAAAGACCACATTTTAAAATTTCTAAACTTCTATTTTTAAAATAAGAACCACCCTTCCCTTTTTACTGAAAATTATTTAATGGACGTGAAAATGTTAATGTATGTATCTAAATAAAAAATCTTATGAGTAGTTTCTGAGTTATCAAATTATTTATATTAACAATATTAATCCTTAATGGTTTTACAAAAATATAAATTACAATTGTTATATTAGATTAAGTATTTATTATACTTTTCATTTTTATAAATTATTTAGATTGATAGATCAATAGTACTTATCTAATAACTAAAAATTTCAAACCATATTAGCCTCCGTATATACTTACCTAATAACTTACTAATTTGCCATAGACATATTATCCTTAGTTCACAAAGTTATATACCTAGTTCAAAAACTATTCAGTCAAATTTGATTTAAAAAGGTACATCAAAATTCTTTAAAAAAAAGGGGGGTTCCTATTTGAAAAACAAAAGTTTGTATTGTAACAATATCATATTTAAGTGATACAAAAAGTCTCATGTATTAAAAATAAGAATTTGAATATATAAATAATTTAAGAATAAAAATAAGGTGAGCATAAAATCACCCTGTATAGGTAATACCCAATGTAAAATAGGTACCTACTTAACTTTTAACAATTTTAGTTTAATGTGAAATAATACATGATAATATTGAACAATTCATAAAATACTTTTTATTTTGATTATTCATTTTACTGGGCAACAAATAATCGCATACAACTTATTATATTATGAAGGTTGGTAATAAAACATTTATTCATAATTTCATAATCAAGACAGTATAATATTATTACTTATTCATCGTTCATAGGTATAAAAATTAAAACTATTAAAATTATTAAAATTATTTTTTATTCTTAATTATATTATAATCTACAATCTATTACAATACAGAATAATAAGTAAAAAAGAGAAATAAAAAGGCTTGAAAAAAACTGATTAAAGAAGACTTCCAGTGAAGGCACTTTGTTAGTTATTTATATGCATTTATATATGTTTATTGTTTACATATTTATAATTTATATTTAATTTAAATACTTGATATAATACATTTTTTTTTTTAAAATATTTTGTTAAGATTTAGTTTTATTTTAATAATTGATGCCTTTGTAGTCCATCTGTATAACATATCTTTTTTCTTCTTTCTTCTATAAAATCTAAAATATATAACTTCTTCATAATATTATGTTCAATACATTATTTTCTGTTATCTGGAAGATTTTTATTAGCTTATTGACCTGATTTTGTAATTATAATTATAAATATTAATATTTTTTTTAACTTTCTAGGATTTTAAACATTTAAAATGCCAAAAAAGCCAGTTGTTGAAAACGATAGACTGATTCGAGCAATTGTGGATAAGAAACATGTATTTGACAGTTGCTCTAAAACGATATTGGGACCTTCACATCAATGTTGGAAAGAAATAGCAGCAGATCTTGATAATTTGGTATCATATAAATACATTTACACAGTAGTAAAAGGAAACCGATTTAATATACTAAATAAACTGATGATAGATGATGAAAATGTCAATAGTACTAATGAGGTTCAAGTAAATTTTACTCCAGTTCTATCAAGCGATTCAAAGTCTGAGAGCTGGGAAGATGAACAAATGAAATTTACTATTACATTGTCTTCTGATGAGTGGAATAAAATTTACAAAGAAGAAAGGTATTTGTATAAAAGAAGTGACCGAGAAAACTCATTTCGAGCTTATGATGTATTAACTTCAAATGAATGGAGTCCATTGATTCATGAACATTTTTTTGACCACACAAAAAAAGCATGCCCAATAGTATATAAAACAGCAAAAATATGTCCGACAGGATATATTTTTTTAAATATTAAGGGTCATTGTTCAGTGTGCAGTAGTACATTCAATGGTATAGTTCAGAATCTACCAGAACCAAATACAAGAGTTTTGATTCAGTGTACATATAGTGGTAATTTTCCAAGTTGTAGAAGTAGAAAGAAAAGAAGACTCATAGGACAAAATAGAGATGAATTTTTAGAAAAAATATATGAGCAAAATATGTCAGCTTCGTACAGCCAAAAACTAGAAGCAAATAGAATAATGGAATATGGTGATCAAGAGCCTGCCCACATACCAACATTGAATGCTCTAAGGGTCATGAAGTATAAAGTTCTTCAAAAAAGTCATATTCATCAAGATTTAATTACAGCTTTATCTTTGATTAAGGGCACAGTACCTTATGATAAAATAATTCATGATATGGGTTACGACCGTTTCTTTTTACATTATTGGACATCAACTGAAATAAATACCTACAGAGTATATACAAAACAAAATAAAATACCAAGAATAACAATAGATGCTACAGGAGGATTGGTAAGAAAAGTAAAATTGTTGACAGGAAGAGAAACTGGATCCATATTTTTATATGAAATTGGCATAATGGATTACAAAAACAAATGCCAGTTTACTGCAGCCCATATGCTATCAGAAAGACATGATTCTAACAGTATCAGTTATTGGCTGACAGAGTGGTTAAGGAGCAATATTGTTCCACCAAAAATTGTTGTGACAGATCAGTCATTAGCATTAATGATGGCAGTGGCTAAGGCATTTACTCAATATTCTACTTTAACAAAATACATTTCAGTATGTTCTTCATTGATATTAGAACAGTCTACTGAAGTACCATCTTGCATGATACGAAACGATTTCAACCACATTATGCATTTAATAAGTACATGGCCAGAAATTAAGACGTCAACTTATCGAGTGAAAAATTTATACATGCGTTCAATTGGACTAATTATAAAAAGCAGAGATTTTGAAGAAGTGAAAGAGCTATTGAAATGTATTTTCATTGTATCCCTGAATGAGGAAGATGGGTTTGATTTAGATAAAGCACCAACACAATGTGAGAATGCAAAAAACTATCTCAAACACAGAATTTCAGATAATATTACTATGGCAGCAGACTGCATAGATGAAACAAATCCACTACTAGATGAATTAGTTGACATTAGTTATGATAATATATTAGAAGAAGACGGCACTACCAATATATTTAATGTTATAAAAAATATTTATGAGTCTTGTTTAGAAGATTCGCTCAAGACAAATAAAGGAAGTCACGACAATATGCAATACAGTCCAAATATTGCAAAAAAACTATTGCATTTTTGTAAGCTCTTACCAACATGGTCAGCGATAATGACACCATATTTTGGATATGGCAATTCCACAGAGTCGAGTTCAACATCAGAGAGTTTATTTAATGAATTAAAAAACAGAGTTTTCAAACATAAGACTTTACCAATTCGGCTAGATGAATTTGTTCAAAATCATGTAAGTTTTATTATGGGTTCAATGAAACTCATAAAAGGAAAACCTGAGTATAATAATAGTGAAGATGACCAAAGTGAAAAAGAGGAAAAGAAGGAACACAAAAAAGAACACAGTGGCAACAGTATCGGTCAACACCATACATATGACAATATAAATGAAGTAGAAAACTGGAGAGGTCAAGGAAAGCCAGCAAAGTATATGAAACATAATTATTCAACTCCAGATAGAAGTATTCTGTTCTACAATGATAACAGTAAAACCCAAAGTCCAATAATTGGTATATTAAGAAATGGAAATATTCAAGACTTAAAAAGTATTGTGGTTGATGGGACAAATTACTCTTTGACAAATACCTGTACGTTTGATAGCATATTTCAAATTCTATGTTCATCCTATAGAGATAGCGTGAAATATGCACAATTTATCGACTTAAATATATCCAAAACACTTTATATCTTAGTAGCTAACGCTTTAAGAGATGGAATTAATGTGCAGACCTATAAGAAGAGAGCAAATATATTAACAAGTATATTTTTAAAAGTAAAGGAAAACACTAAATTAAGACAATTACCTGGAGGGCTTATACATTTAGATTGTGCTAGTACAGCTAATTTCTTGATACAAAATCTATTTAACGAATTCCCATCTTTCAAGGAGCATATTACATGTAATAATTGTAATTTTGAAAAAATATATGAAGGAAAATCCATAATAGCAAATTTACCGACGGATACTATAGATTTTCTTCAGGACGTATTAAACAGCAGATTTACAAATTATACATCAATGTGTGAAATGTGTGAATCATCTAAAACAGAAATTGATTTTACTTTAGGAAATCATATTTTTATAGAAATATGTGCACCAAGTTCGGAACGTCAACGAAAAGTTCAAAACTTTGACCTCCCATTGACATTATCAACTCTTCCACAAAAAATTACAATTTCTAATAAAAGCTATACTCTCAGAGGTGTTATCAGCTTCATAGCACCAATTTCCAAAGGCAAGGAAGCTATTGGGCATTATGTATCTTATTGCTGGTGCGAAATGAACAACTCGTGGAATAGATATGATGACTTACAGCGTACCCCTAGAACAGTAAGACATACAACTATTGCAGTTGGTTGTCAATTTATAGTATACACAATTTAAATATGATAATTACTACAATTACTTTATAAAATTACAATATTTATAAACAGTATCTACATAATTCTTAATATTAATCTTTATTTTTTTGAATCATAAATGTTTAATTAAATGGATTAGGTTAGTACCTATATAATTTCATTGTGTTATGTTGTAACTGTTATCATATCATTTTATGTTATATTATGTTTTAAGAATGAGTGATGAGTAAAGACTATATACATATAAATTATATATAATGACTTAAAAGTTTTTGTTTTCAACTTAATAGTATTAACAGCATAAGTATAACCACTGTTTTTTAATTGTATTTAAATATGTAATGTATAATGTTAAAGATTACATTTATATTTTATTAGTTTATTTTATTTGTGTTTTGTTGAGTTTATCATGTATTATTAGTTTTATTATGTATATACCTAATACTTATTATAAGAATGAGTTAATGAAAATAAATTATCTTTTAATTTATTTATTGTTAGTTAGTAAATTTGTTGCTAGTTAATTTATTTTATCTATAAAAAAACTTATAATTCTAAATTGAATTAGTGTAATTAAAAATAAATACAATTAATTTCAATTAGCTTAGGTAACTTGATTAATAATTTGTCTCATTTCCAAGCAACCATTTTTGAATTACACAATAATTATTTACAGTTCTAATATTAGTAGTGAGTTGCAACATAAATAATAGTATAATAATATCTTAAGGCAAGATTTTGGAAATATATTATATAATAAATATTATAATTAAAATGTATATAGTAGAGTGTACATTAAGTGAAGCTTAAGTTAATACATAATAGTTTATAGTTTTTAATTTTTTCAATCCAAAGAAGCATTAAAACAGTGATTAAAACATACTTTTTATTATGGTTTAGTATATTATAGGTATTTAAATATTATTTAACAATTCAACTTAAACGTTGAATTTTATTATAAATTACCTAAGTTAAATAATTATTTAGTAATCAAACAATATTTAAACATTGATTTAATTATTTGTTTTCATCAACTGGGATCCAAACAACTCTTTATCTTAAAGCTTTACTATCTGAACATGAACTATCTGTTAAATTTTTATTTAAAACTATATTCAGCTAACCTGACGGTAAACGTTATTGGTATAATTTTCCAACCAATGTAGTAGATTGAAAATTTTACATAGTACCTTTAAGTACCTATATGTTTATATACCTACTACATTGGAATGAATGTGCACATATGATAAGATAATGGTAACTCCAAATTGATTCAAATTTGTTTCGCAAGATCTCAACAATAACTTAATGTCTATACTTCATTCTATCCAAACATAATTAGTTTCAAAAATAAGAAGATTATTATTTAGCTGTGTATAATATTTTGTCTGTTTCAAAATGATAATGATGAAATAGGTGTATGAACTGAAGAAAACAGCATGCAAGTCAATATTATTGCTAACCAAGTTTATTTGGAAACTTTCTTTTGCTGACTATATTATATACAAACAAATAAAAGTAAATATAATCCTTTTGAATATATCATTCTCTAAGTGTAACATAATTATTAGAAAGAAATTATTATCTATTTATTTATTATGATAATGCCTTAGAGAGCAAACAGAAGTATTGTTATTACTTATTTATTATTAATACAGATTACAGAACAGAACACTACAGAACTTGCATGATTTATAGATAGAAGTAATGCACAAGGTCAAGTTAGATTTTGCAATGGTTTTAACTTTTAACTCTTTCACGATACCGTGTCAATATTATACCTATAGATATCAAAACGTTCAATAAAATTAAGTCCAGATAGGTAGGCTAATAATTATGTATGACTTACGAAAACCCAGCTAAGGCAAACTGTTTAGATTTGTATAATTTGCATACTGCACAAGCTATATAGTGAATTTATAATTTAAAAACAATACTATAAAAGTTCAAATTTTCAAAAATTTAAAAGAAAATTATTAATAAATTAACGAAAAAATAAAAATTGAACATAATAGTATAGGTATTGTACATAACCTCAATTATTGTTTGTTGGTAATTTGAAGTGGTAAACTCATTAAACCAGAACTTCGGTTAGATTTAATAAACTTTTATCAAAACTGAATATTGATAAAGCGTGTTTTCACTAGTTTTTTGTTTTGTTTTTTACGGATTTTGAAAACTATTTGGACAATTACTTGAAAATTCTTTGAACTGATCATATAAATGGAATCTACATAAAATTCTCTATCGATAAATTTGACATTTAACTACTTCTTATTCTCCTATTCGAGATTAATCTTAGCCACAAACAGAAGACAGAACAGTTCTATTTCGAAAGTATAATATCTACATTTATCAATTTAACCTGCTTATTATTCAGCGGTGGTCAATTTTGAGATTTATCTTTTTAATACCACCTATATTAAATGCAGAACCAAACTAAGTTCGTTTTGAAGTTTTTGTTGTACCTATAGCTGGAACTATAGCTATTCGAAAATGTACATTTAGTTGACAATTATCAAAATAGTTTAATTATGGTTCCTAAATGTATTTGTAATGTGTATACTAGCATTTTCAAAGCTTAAATGCATATAATATTGTTTGACGATTGAAATAAAAATTGTATCAACTATCAAGTATCAATTATATAATGAATTGTTCATATATTTAAAACTCTACTTCGATTCTTATCGATGTGAATAACTAGGTAGGTACCTACTTCTTACTACATGCGTAGGTAGATAGTTGCCAAAATGTTATAAATCAAAGTTTAGATGACGTTCATGTGTTCACTGCCATGTGCCTACAGTGTAATTCATTATTATTTTTATTTTAATGTCCAAATTATATTTTCTTCTAAAACTTGTACTACAATACTATACACCAAATAGTTAGGTACGTTAAAAATATTAAATTTGTTTCCAGACTTAAAAAAAATATATTTATATCATTCATCATTGAGTATAGGTACTTATATTGTACAAAAATATATTATACTCAATGTTATCATTAATATTATCTATTATTAATATTATTTCACCTAATGGTAGAATAATCCAGGGGTTGACGTTCTTGAGCGCATAGAATGGAACCCTATCTTGGTTCTGTACCGCAATAACATTTATAGTATTAGGTCGTAGAATCGTAGATCTTTATTGGTTAAATACCTAACAAATAACTTTTAAATATTCACAAATAACGCGAACCATTTTATTTTAAAAGCATATTTTTTTTCAAACAAGCATACATCAACACCTATCAAACATAGGTACATCATACACATTATAACTATAGTTATTAAATAATTGCAACAAAAGAATTATAAAATTCGTGTGTAGTAGTGTTTTGGTAAGGGGTATAGGTATATAGGTACATATAGATGTAGTTATTATGTAGTTTTTTGAGAATTTTTAAAACTAGATACTCAGTTTTATCGATCAGCTGTCTATGATATTTTTCAAAGTTATATACTTATATCTATTAAAGCGTTTGGCAGAAATTAGCACAAATATGAAATTTTAATAACATTTTTTTTTACGTAATAATTACGTAATATATAAAACTCAGATTTAAGTAATTTAATCCCAAAATTACGAGAGTTAACTGCAATGTACCCACCCAAGGATCAAGGTACAGTAGAGCACTAACGACCGGACGAATAATACAGTGAAACACTAACTAAGCATAAACGAATAAAAGATTTTTGGACCCAAAATTCGAAATCTAAATTAGCATGTCCTTAGAACCCCCTGTAGGAAATTCATATACAATTTTAAGGGATGGAGCACTAACGACGGGATAAGAAGCACTAACGTGCACTAACGAAGCACAAACGAATGAAATTTGTTTGGGCCCGAAATTCGAAATGGGGGGTGCAGGCATGTCCCCAGCACCCCCCTGTACGAAATGCGAATAACTTTGGAACGGATAAAGCACTAACGACGGTATGAAAAGCACTAACGTGCACTAACGAAGCACAAACGAATGAAATTTGTTTGGGCCCGAAATTCGAAATGGGGGGTGCAGGCATGTCCCCAGCACCCCCCTGTACGAAATGCGAATAACTTTGGAACGGATAAAGCACTAACGACGGGATAAAAAGCACTAACGTGCACTAACGAAGCACAAACGATCGCCCTGGGTTTGGGCCCGAAATTCGAAATGGGGGGTGCAGGCATGTCCCCGGCACCCCCCTGTAGGAAATGCGAATAACTTTGGAAGGGATGAAGCACTAACGATGGGATAAAAAGCACTAACGTGCACTAACGAAGCACAAACGATCGCCCCGGGTTTGGACCCAAAAATCACAATGGGGGGTGCCGGGGACATGGACCTCGTTTTATCTATATTAGCTACATATTAAAACAAATAACACAATCATGGGTAGAACAATTTCTAACCCAGTACTAAAAATGCAAAGGTGAGCATTAACCTGTTAAAAAGTTAAAATTAAGTTAAAAAATGATTTTTTTTCAACTTTTTAACTTAACTAGTTAATTATTTTTGTTTTTAGCTTATTAACTTAGTCAGTTAAAATGTCCAACGTAATTATATAAAATACCTAGGTGTTAGGTATATAATATAGAATACCATTTATAACAATATTAAATATTATTAAAATAATAAATTATCATTTTCTTTTAACGATGTTGTAAAAAATTAAGTAGTAAATTACTTGCTGGATTGTTGGAAAATGTTGGGTAAAATAACGTTTTTGTTCTAAATAACGATAAACTCAAAACTTGGGTAACGTTTTAATTCTGGATAACGATAAACCCAAAAATTGTGTAACGTTTTAATTCCGAATAAAAATTCTAGATAATTTAATATTTAATTATTAATAACAAACAATTTTTCTAACTTAAATAATATTTATGATAAAAAATTGTACGTAAACATGGATTACACTAGGATACACTAGTATTTCTAGTATCCTAAAATATTTTATTGAATTTATTTATTATTGATTATTTAATTGCTTAACATTCTAGACTTTCAAAGCACAAAATCGCCCGTACTGAAAAAATTTAAAAACACCAATAGTTATATAAGTTTTGGGTTGTCGACACTGATATAATAGTTTGTACTACTTAATTATTTTGGATTTATTATTTTCCTGTTTTAGTACTACCAAAATAAGGATAAATTCACATCAACGTTTGATTTTTTTGTTTACATGACTTACGATTCATAGAATACAATCTCCCTTGTAATGGTGTGCGGGTGGTATGAAAATTCGATCGTTCCTCCATACAAAATTAATATTTAAAGTTTAAACAATTTTAAATTAATTTTTTCAAATTTTAATTCTTGTTATGATTCAAAACTGGTGCCTTGTGATGGCAGTGTGCCGAAGCATAGAGCAAAAACGGCGGCAAAACGTTGGACAAAATAATAATAATATGTTCTTATCCTCGAGTTTTCTGATTCGATTTTCCGGGATGATGCCTTTGGAAAAAGTTGAAACTGTGCTACATATATATATATATATATATATATATATGGGTCTAGGCGTTCTCTACATCACTCACGAGCGTCTAAAGTGGAAACGGCAATTAATGGGGACCTGTACAACAGCTGCAGCGGCCGGGCACGTGTGTGGTTATCCCACACGCTGTCCTGCCCGCCGCCTCGCGCGACACGCTTCCCGCCACCGTCCCCTCCCCACGGGATAATAAATGATGGCGAGTCGTCAAGGCGATCAGTTTCCAAAGTCATTAAACGCGGCGCGAACGTCTAAAGTTCACAGGCTCGTGATTTGTCCGGATCGTTTGGGTTTATACGCACGTACCTATATACATCACTCTGTATATAAGCGGTCTTACATACACATACAGTACCTATATATATAATGTTATACTATTCTCTCAAATCTCTCGCGGCTGCCGGCCGGTCGAGTCGCCTGCTTTTATGGTGCACTATATATAATATGCGAGCGCAAAGTGTTTATATGCCGTCCGAACGCCGACAGAGAGGACGCCGCCGACACACTTAATACATAAATATAATATATGTATGATAATATAATAATAATAATAATAATATGGTCTACATTATATAATGTATATTATCTACACATTCGTAAACCGGATTTCATTTTATTTCAGCGTTTCTTTTTTAAACATCGGCGTGTCGTTTAAAGAGACCGCGCGCGTATAAACAAACCACGTCGAAAATGCCTTTCATCATGCGCGCAGTGTATTGTTGGCGGCGGGACGCGGGCCAAAGGGACCGGCCGTCGTAAAGACGTCGGCGGCGGGTGACGGCGGCTGCACCCCTCGTAAAAAACACAAGTTCGACCTCAAAAACGCCCGAAACGCATTCCGGTCGCATCGTTTGTTTGGAAACGGGCACAAAGACACCCGCGAAAGCGTATTATTATTATTATTAACATGTTTTTTTATTTATTATTTTCGTAAGCGTTTATTATTGTGAAGTATATCGCGATAATGGACGTGAATATTAAACGATAGGTATTATGTAGTTATTTATTAGATATTATGTCGTATCGCTCAGATATGAAAGGGAGGCATGACAAAAACGTTTACGTCTTTATGCAGAAAAATCAAAATATGTACAATCAATATATTTACTATCAGATATATTATACAAGACAGACAAAGATAGATATGGGTCCTTTATGTTATTTTTTTCAAAAGAAATTTTAAAACTATTTTGAAAAATATTGAAAATATAATAATGTTGTTCATATATTTTATTTTATAAAACCAATGTTGGTTATTCTGCTATGGTACATATTTATTAAAATACATATATCTATATAAAGATATACGAGCAATGTATGTTATACAAATTTGATATAGTACAACTAAATTCTATAATATTACAGTACCTATTTTATACTATACACCAGATATAGTCAATATTAGATCTGATATCTTGATATTATAGTTTGGTCGGGTCCATACGATAATCAGATAATAGTAAAACGCAATAGCTGTAACCGTGACAGCTAATATTATGATAGTAATATAGTATACTACTAAATATTACTATATTATAAACTTAGACGTAACTATTACAGTAAACCCTATAAGTTATATTTAGTTATAACATATTACTTTCAATTCGGGGGCTTGAGTGTTACCTGAAATCATTTCTTTTCATACACAAGTGAGTATTGACTTTTTGTAAGGTACTATAATGTAATATGCTTTAAACATTCTTTATACATAGGTTAGGTTTTTTCTCCTGCACTACCTCTCTATACAAAAGTTATGTACAATTATTTTACTAGGCATTATCAGTCAATGTTTGTCATAAGCTCGTAGTATTATAAATAAAATATAGTCTATAAACAAACATTTTTCAACAGATTTAAAAATATAAAATATTCCAAGTACAGACATTATAATAAAAAAAATACATAAGTACGAATTATTAACAGCTTTTGAACTTTACATGGTTCAAAAATGACTGGTTGGTTAAACTGTATACATTTTAACTCTTTAACTATCATTGTGAAGATTTTGCAGAAGAGTGGTCTTCCCTCGTATTCATTGTACCAATCCTACAGTCCTAAGAATCCTTTATGTGAAAATGAGAAAATATTGAAACTCATCTCTTGAAGAGGTATGTAATTTTTCACCAATTTAAGAATGTTGAACTTTATCAATCGACTTAGTTATTAGTAAATTTTTTCCGATTAGTTTTAAGCTTTGTATTATTATGTAACTTTTAACTTGGTTTAACGAGTTATGAAAATCTTTAACTCGTTCATCTTTTTTAGTTTATGTCTTATTATTCATGTTAATTTATTATATTCCTGTAGTATTCTATAAAATGGTATACATACATTATATTATCTTTAGTCATAGGTAATGAATAATAAGTATGTTCTCTATTATTATGATTTTTTAAATTTTCAGTTTTTAAAAAGATATTGAAATTACTATAGTCAATAATAAAGTAATTATACAATATCAATATAGTCGAATTACAAATACCCCATATTGGCTTATAATAAAATAACAATACACGCCAAATTAAATGAAAATAATAAATATCTCTTCTAAGACCTGGGAACAAAATGCACGTTAGTACTTATTTACTTACTTGTTTTAGAACGAGGTTCTCTAGGTCCATCCACAGTGACTTTGATGGCTTTATTGTAAGTGGTAACTTGCGGGGGCGAACAGCTCACAGTTATGGTCAGCGTAAAACTTTTGCCTGTAACGTAAACAAAACTAATTTTATAACAAAAATCAAGCCCAAAAATAATTTCGAACGTCTTTACATTATTGACAAATCGTTGAATAAAAAAAGTACACCACCCGACATTATAATTTCTAAAGACGTACATAGTACCTTATACTTTATATATTATTTCTACATGTATAATATATGTATAATAATATTTATACTATAATGTATTATATAAATTATTTTTCGTATGTAGAAACGAATAAATGTTTTTTTTAAATATAGACATATTTTTAAGCAGGGTACAACTTTTTTTTTTTAAATAATTTTTTTGTGACTGATTTTCGGGACGTTTTTCTTATTGCCATAGAACCGCAAATCAATAGTAAAACCAATAAATTAAATTCCTAACAAAATGTAACATATTAATAGATATTTTTCTACTGCACTAGCTATACCCAAAAATATATCTATAATTATTTCCTTATTTCCTTTCAGAGGAAAAATATTTAGTGGCATGCATGCATGCCATTTAAAATAATATATATAGGTACGAAAGACATTTAAAAAAAAAATAACTGCATTAAACCTATACTTAACTCGGTTCCCCTATAATCCCCCTTAACTATAAATCCGAATTTATAGTTAATTCTGGTCGTAATACAATATAATAAATTCCGTACATTATACGTAGATAAACTATGAAATTTTGAGGGAGCTACATGGCGTTGTTTTCGGTAAACCAGTAACTGATATTTACGGTATTTGCGAACAATATAGTAGATAAACCGTGTTTCGATAAATACCGTTTATAATTATTGTAAATATACCTAACCAAACCTAACCTACTGTATACGTCAATAGCCCTGAAGACTCGAGTCCACATTTCAAAAAACTATAATTTTATTTATGTGCGGGTTACAATATAAATATACATATAGTACATAGCTATATAGGTATAATATGAATCGGTGCGAAAACTTTTATTTTACTACATTGCAATGACGGTCTTGTCTTCACCGGACAAGCGTCCGGTTTCGTGCTGTAAGGCTGCCCCACATACAGTATATGCTCATATAATACAGGGTGAGCCGACTCGTTTTCCCGTTTTCTCATAATCATAATAGCTTAACACAGTAAAACTGCAAAACTACCCACCCTATATATTATATATACGGTTATAATTATCAAAAAGGAACCTCCACCCCGTGTAAACGTGCAGATAAAGGGTATATACAATGCGAAAACGGCCGTGTCCCGACGAAGGGAAATCGCGGCGGATTGACCTGACGTCCACCCCATTCATACACACACACACACACACACACACACACACACACACACACACACACGTACATTAAAGTACGTTTTATACGTATTATACTGTTGTGTGTGTGTGTAGGTACGCTTATAACGGACAGAGACGGATGACGGGCCGTATTATTTACATTATTTTCTCTCTATATTTTTCCACCGCACGAGTGCCTATATTTACAACGCGCAGAGCACATAATAATATAATATGTCACTCGTACTGGAAATATAAAAATACCGCACCGAGAGAGGCGATCATCGTCATCGCGTTAATTTGTCGGAAAAACATAACGAGGGGGAAATGATAAATCGCGTCGGAAAAACGCGACGTTTATGCGATAATAACTGCAGTCGTACAATGTACATACAATATAATATATATTATGTATTATACGTGTGTAGTGTGTACACACTACCCGCGGCGGCGGTGATTCGTGTTCGCTCGTAATTATTATAATTGAGCGGAAAGTCGTGTCGGCGACAACCCGCGGCCGTGCAATACAAACGTTCGTAAATCGCTTTACCGCTCTGGTTTTTTTTTTTTACGGTTTATTTTATTATTACGTTTTAATTGACGGCGACAATAATTGTCCGTTGGCGCGGTCGTGTTTGTCGCCGTCGGTGAAAAGTCATATCTTTTTTTTATATTTCTAACACTGCTCGACGCACATCGCAAACATTAATTGTCAATTCAAATGTTGCGGTTTCATCTTATTCGTTTAATACGACGCTATCCCTCCATTTCCGAAAACTTCGTAAACCGCAAAGTCTGGCTTTAGCTGAGTGAAAAAAATTAATTTTTTTACATTCGTGTAAAACGATACTAATAACAGACAACAGTGGTGAAAGAACTATATAATACAAGAACTTTCAACAAAATAAATATTAAATATTGTTTTGTATGGTGTATTTGTATTACATTGTTGAAAATATTTAGTCAGTACGATATTTGTCATGAACCCATGACACATTTGATATTATAGAAAAACTCGAAATTACATACAATTATTATATGATTGACGACTGTATACGAATGGTGAAGTTTTGTTATAAATTTGGATTGAAAATGTGGCAAAGCATGTCGTCATTACATGAAAGTAATTTTCGGGACCATAATTCAAACGAATATACATGTAAATAGTTTATTTATATGTTTAATGATATAATGACCTCGGGGCTTTTGATCAATTATAAACATTGTGAAATTTGAAAGATTCAATCGTAAAAATACTTCAAAGAAATGAAGTGGTGGTCGTTGAGTATTTTGATATATTTTAAAATAAGGTTGTTTTCTGCTATATTATGTCTCATTTATTCTTAACTATATGCTAAAACCTTTTATATATAGATTATAGTTTGAAGTATTAAAGTATAATATACTAGACTTTTGTGAATAATCTTAGTTTTTTATTATAGTTCATGTATTTTTTTTTAAGACTAGTACCTACTATTATATAAAAAAATATGTACATATTTATCATATAAATACAATTATACAGGAACGTAAAATATGCTTTTATAGTGTTGATTAGTGTAGAATAGAAAGGCCATTGTATTTATAGTACCTGTTGAAAGTTAAAATTGTTCAGACAGCTATAAGTAAGTACGTTTTATTTCGGAAAGGATAAATGGACGACGGGTGAAAAATGTAAATCAAAAAAAAATTACACATATTTATATGATGTATATACACTACCGCATATATACATCAGCATAAACACATTCACAGGCAAGTAAAAGGCAATGTCAACAGAAATCCAAGAGAAGTCCTACTATTCGACATCTCCGTGCTCCAGATGTTCGCGTCAAGTGTTTGAAATATCTAATAGGATCCTTAAGGAAACAGCGTATAATTCTCTAGATCAGTAGCTACCAAAATATGGTCCATGATGTAGAAAAAAGTATTTGTAAGTTTAAAAGTGAAGTGACTTACGACTGTGGTGGTATATTTTCTATGTGTTGGTTATATATAAATTCGTGTTCACGTTCTAATTAAAAGCCGTGCAAAAGACATAAAGAAATCGATTTGAGAATTTTTTACAGCCCTTTGTTTCCATATTCAAACGAAATTTGGAGCCAACTGTCCATTTTTTAGATTTATATAGGAATCCATTATCCAATGGCCTAATATTGACAATTATGCATGGGAAACAAGTTGGACTTTTATGTGTTAAATGAATCACGCGAAGGCTTGCACCGCCTTCACAGAGTTGTCTTATAGTGGATAGCATGTTTTGGGCAAATCAATTATGTAAGTACCACTTTATATCTACTTAAGTTGGTGGAATACGTTTTGAATGAATTCTTGAAAAAAATAAATGATTATAGAACAGTTTATCACAGTTTACAAAAGCATCTAGAATAGCACTGAATAAGCTAAAATTTAAAAATTATATTAATTATGAATTATAATTTATAATACGTGTTACAATACAACATTTATGGTACGAAATAGGAATCAAAGATGAATTAATAAAGATTAATTACTTATTTATATAATGTTAAGAAGACAGTTGGTAGTACAATTTCAAACCAATAAATGTATTACAATAATAAATAATCGGTAAAATATTGTCAGAACGACCGGTCACCAAATGTAGTACAAGCAGGTCATGGTTTAGTAATCAGTCAAAACAGGATCTCCCCATCATATGACGGTCATTCTGAAACGTTATAAGTGATAATAGGTTCTGATAAGATTGAACTCAACTACTCGGTATAAGGGGTATAAGAAAAGCTATAAAAAAATTACGATTAACCCGCGGTAAACCACGTGTTTCAATTAAACAAATCTCTGTACCAAAAAACCACGTTGTGCTGCTGTGAATGTGCCTTTAGTCTGTGTTGTACCAGGCTGGATCTAGGGGAGAGCACTGGGAGCAAGTGCCCCTCCCCCATTTCACAAAAAAATATAAAAAAATGTTCATAAATTATTAAAAATCATCGTCGTAAAAATGTTTTTAATTTAAGTGCCCCCTTTGTACACAGATTCTGGATCCGCCCTTGGTGTCGTACAGCACAGATTATTATTGAGTAGGTATATTATATTGTGTATACACAATATTATATAGGAAAAATATATTATCATGCAATTACGCTTACCTCTTCCGCTCCTGCCCACGAACCGCAAATCGTTGAACTTGGCCACCTGGTTCTTCATCAGGGCGGTGCAGTTGCGCAACTCCGCGCAAAAGTTCTCGTCATTGCCTGCGCGTATGGTGACGGCCGTGCCGTCCGGAACTTCGCCTAGCGCCACCACTTTGAACGCTACCGGAAGTGTCTTGTTGGACCGCCAGTGCGTGGGGAGTATGGTACACACCAGGAACGGGCTGCCGGTCCGGACCAGCTCGCCGGGGTGTTCGGACAGGAAGTCGCCCAGCGACCGTTCGGCCAGTATGTCGGCGGTCATCTTGGCGTACGCGTCGGACAAACCGTCGTCGGCTCCGGAACCGGTCGCGGCGACGCCACCCACGCCACCCGTCATCTGGGCGCCCTTCACCACCATCCTGCCGCGGTAGACTTCCGCGGTCGTCGCGCTCGGTAAATACGTAACGGACCGGGTTCTGAAAAATCACGCGATACGATCAAATGTTATTACTTCTTTACTATGATACGATGATATTATTATAAAATTATATAGGTAATAATATCTAAACGACAGCGTGACAACATCTGAAACCGATGACAATATGTCATTTTATAATTTGGTGTACTGTTGACTAAGGATACAAAATCTACCTGCATCCTATACTACACATATTGTAATCAATTTGTATTTTATACATAAGTATACTGTAAGAAATCAGCTGTGTTGTATGTTTGTATTATAATATCTAAATGCAAAACCCAATAGGTAATGTATTTTAAAATTGTAATATAATATTTTGAAAACCATTTTGCTCTTCACAAAAAGTTACCGAAACAAAATGTATTATAATCATTAAATTTATCTGAAACTAGATATTTATATATATGTTTGTTTCCTAGTTTGTATGGCCGTATGGGTAGTAGGTAGTTATATTGTTAAGTTTTAATCAGCTGAGCTCGGACATTAATGACTCAAAATGAATTCAAATTTGAATATTATAAAAAAGACAAAATAAGCAATTCTATTATTAGCAATGTATAATATTATAGGTAATGGTTAGTTTTTTTTATGAGCTAATTTATACATATATACGTATCCCCGTATCCTTCTGACTTCGATCTGAGTATATAAATACTAGGTAAATTGATTTTAATAGCCACTATTAAAATTAATAGTGATATCTGTATTTATGTAAAACAATTTAAAATGCAATATAACATTTTGTGTACATTGATCAACTATTCTCATAATCAATAATATTTTTACAATTGATATTTGGTACTAGCTAGTGAGTAGTGGGATGAGATGCATATAATCCATACAATACAAAATTACATATCGAATTTTAGTACTTATAAATATAAGAATTTACAATGGGAATAGTATCATAGTACAAAATGGGTCGAACGAACAATACTTATAATAACATTATCGTACTTTAGTTAAGAATAACGGCCACACAAGTTCAACGATTTAGGTACCTACCTATAGAGTATAGGATATTATATTAATATTTAATTTTTTTCATATAATCGAAAATAACATCTTTAAAAATAAACTGTTTAACACCATAACTAAGAGAAAAAATGTATTTTTATACTTTATAAGTTATAAGTTATAACTATATAATATTATAAAATATTCAATAACTTATAGTATACCTATAAGGCAAACTATAGGCTGTTGGTAAAAGTTTAAACTTTAAAGTAAAATTGATTTCGTTTTTTTTTGTGATTCTTTTTATGGAATGCTCTATTTATTTTATTAAAAGGAGATTTATATTATTTTGCATAATAGGGAATCAATAGTTTATGTTTTTATTAATCATGCGTAAACATTTAAAGTAAAGTACAATATCGACTATCGAAAAATGCACATAATTAAAAAAAAATAGTAATTCGAACTCAAATTATATAATACAATTTATATAATTTATAACTAATAAGTGACATTTAAACTAGGTGTGATAAATCAGCAATGTGACATCTAAGTAATGAGAGCTTTATACTGAACGAGATTCATTTTTCTTCATGCCTACATATTCGAATTCTCTTTAATCTACCAAAGGGGTTGACGAGAATATAGAATTAAAGGGACGCGATAAACGTTCTACATAGAATAGGTGTATAACCGGTGTGAAATACTTAAAGACACGTCACATCACCGTACTTCCGCTTTAAAGTTTAAGTCTGGTTGAATGGAGAAGCAATAAGTGTTTACACCCTCGGTAAAATATCTACAATATCGTACATAAAGGCACTGTAGTGTAATAATATATTACACAGAAATTCTGAAATCGAGTTACACAAATGGTGCTAATAGTATCGCAATTGATACTTCTTCACAATGCTGAAAGTATGTAACTATTTTTAGTGCATGTCTATAATATAGCGACTATGTAATTTGAGTAGAAAACGATTTTAAATTACTTACTTATACGTTATATAATATATACTACATAGTATTCAAATATTTTGCAGCATAATGTTAATTGAATGTTTTTATTATATGCAACAATATATATTTTTAAATTTAATAGGTACATAATATTTAGACCAACTAAAACCAATCAAATTTAACCTCAATAATAATTAACTGAACTATAATACACTAAACTGTGTAGAACTTATTTAAATTGTACCTATCAGTTATAATAATTAATAAAATCAATTGCGAAATATATAAATACTTGGATAATAACAGACGTATTGTTTAAAGACGTGCATTTTTGAAGCTCCGTACACGGAATGTTAAATTTGATTACTTAAGTTACAACAAAAACCTAACCTAACCAAACCTATAATTACATTGTACCTCTATTATAATAATTAATGACAGTAACAATACTATTATTAAATATACTATAATATAATAATTGATAGTTGAAAAATAATTTTTAAAACTTAACATCAGTTAAAAATTTTCTGTGTAATTTACAGTAAAATGAACACTACCTACTTAAATACTGATGGACAATGTTTAAAGATATTAAATTTGTTATTGAGTAAATTAATTTATTAATAATAGCAAAAACTAAAAACAATATTGAATACACACAGAATATCAGAATGATACAACTAACATATACAATTTTTTAGTTGGAGTTACCTACTTAAATGTATAGGTAATTATTGGTTTTTAATAATTAGGTACCTAGGTACTTGCTGTTAATACTTTAAATTTTTTATTATTACTCACTATTTAACGGGATATGTATAACTCAAAGTGATAATTAATGTCTATAAAAGAATATTCAATACATTTTCTTTACAAGTAAAAACTTTTAAGTAGGTACTTATAATACCAATACGATAATAGGTATTGTTATAATTTATAATAACTATTAAAGTTGTGTGAGTTGTTTATCCTATTTTAAACGTCTTATCAAAATCTTTGATAATTATGTACTATTTTAATGAAGTTACCTATTAAAAAATATTAAGTTAATTATTGTGGAATTGAGTAAGTGTTGTCAAACGATTGTATTGCTTAATTATAAGAACTTAAAATTAAACACAGCCCCACAGAAGGAATATAATGCATGTAATCCTGTATATGATTAAATTATGACAAAATAAAGAGTTGTAAAATGGGATAGGAGAAACTTAAATTATAATAGTTATTATTTTGATCATAACAGTATTCTCATTAAAATTAATGGTGTACAATATTCATTCCTGTAGGATTTATTGTACCAGTACCTACAATAGTTTATGCCATAGATGTCAATAGGGTATTATAAATTAAAACATTTCATATACATTTTACCAAATAAGTTTAATATTTTATTGATTATTAATAATGTCAAGTACGTGGAATATTAAAGTTGTTATATTTGAATAAACAGGTACATGAATGCCAATAACACAAGACTTAGGTATTAAAATATTAATGACAAGTAAATTAAAAAACAGTAGGATTCAAATGAAAAAAACGTGATTAAAATGCAACGCTTTAATAAAAAAAAAGGAATTAAGACAAAAAAAAAAACCAGGAAAAAACTCAACTTAAAAACACACACTACATTAATAGGTATAAAATACGCCAAGTACGAAATGTCGAAATTCCTGCTCTAGTACCAATCACATGATAAACTACGACAATATATAATAATATTAATGACACAGATGATAAAATACGTAGGTATATTGTATTACTGACCTTTGTCACGTCGCCGGCAACAACGGGTGATTTAAAAACGTGGTGGCGGTGGATCGCGGAACAGTTCAAGGCCGTCGGTCGGCTGGCGGGTAGTGGAGGGGAAAAAAACACGGACGCGCCGTCGACGAAAAAAAAATACGAAAAAAATACAAACAAACTTTCGACAGCGCTGGCGAGTGACGGGCGGCAGCGGTGGCGGCTGCGGCGGCGGTGCACCTACCGCGGTTGAAGTGGTGTTTTTTTTTATTATTATACTTTTACGACCGCGTTTCCCGCTCTTTTTTTTTTGCTTCCTTCCGTCCGCGTCCCCTCGACACCACCGCGCTCGCGAATCGCTCGTCCGTCGTCGGTCGTGGTGGTTGTTGTGTACCGGCGTGTGTATATTTATATATTATTTACGAAACGCACTGCGATCGGACGGTGGTAATAACGGTAATAAATATTATTATATATATATTTATTATTATCAACGGAAAAAAAGGCCACGTGCAGAAGACCGCTTTTTGTAACGTCGGTGCGTAATATAATATTATAACGGACTTCGTGTTTTATTAATAATAATTGTGTGATTATATTACTATCGTCGACGACGAAGACGGTATAAACCCGACCGCCGGCGCGACTACACTACCTAACGACGCCGCCGCGCGCACTATACAAACGCGGTACCGCAACTATATATGCATTTACGGTATACTATACGTGTATGGTGTATGTGTGTGGATGTTCGTTTGTGTGTGCGAGCGAGCGAGCGCGGTTAAACGGCGGCGGCGCGGCGCCGGAGCTCCGGTAACCGGTATACGAAACGCGTCGCCGTCGCGGTATATATGACGCGGCGGAGCGCGCGACCCGAGTGCGTGCGCGTTTGACCGCAATATTCGGGGGTTTTCGCCCGGAGAGCGCGGCGCGGCGAGTCGGTCGTGGCGGGACGCGCCCACATGGGCACCGCACACGCACGCACTCACTCGGACGGGCGAAAGGCGGCGGTGGCGGTGGCGGTCGACTGCTGCTGTACGGCGGGGTAGTGGCAGCGCCGTCGATGGGGGTGTGTGCAAGGGTTACACCTTTGGCGTGCGCGGCCGCAAAGACGCACACCGGCGGCGCGCCGAGCCGCCACCGCCGCCGCACCAAGATCGAAACCAAAGTCCATCCCCGTGGCGGCGGCGGTCCGTCTCCGCGCCGTGTACACAGCACCGCCGCCGCCGGAACAGCCGAGACTAACGACGACGCGAACTCCCGTCGTCCCGCACCGCAGC